TGCCCGCTGCCCCCCGCCCCTGGCGGCGGTGCGTGGCGCGAGCGCGAATGGAGGTGGCGGACGGGGAGCTGGGGCGGAGAGGGCCGGGAGAGGCTCCGTGAGCTCGGCCGCACCGGGCATTTCCCTTGTGCTGCCGCCCGCCCCGTCCCGTCCCGTCCTCTGGCCCGAAGCCGGTTCGTCTGCGAATAAAGTTTCCCGCCGCGGTGGAGGATGGAGCCTGCCACTATGGATTATTTCTGTGATCAGGTACAGCAGAAGGATGTGGGCCGCAGGATGCAAGTCGGCCAGGAACTGCTGGAGTATCTGAGCGATCCTGCTCGGTCCCCTGATCTCGAGCAGGACCAGCAACGCCTGGACAAAGTGATTGACGAGCTAACAGGATGGGTCAACTCCAGTAATTTTAAGGTAAGGCTAGTTGGCGAGACTTGGTCGAGGGACCATGATTCATCATGGTAGGTAGGGAGGAACCGAGCTCTGAATTACTTTTCCGTCAGAAACCAGCAGAGAGAAGACTCCGTGCGTACCTGTTTTTTATTCCCCTTCACCTCGAGAGCTTTGGAAATCTTGGGGGGGGTTGCTTAACATTTTTTTCATTATTATTTCTAGTGTTCCGAAAGAAGTAAGCAGTAGGTGGATTTTTTTTTTTTCTTTTACTTTTATGGTTGCCCAGAGAAACATTGCATCTCTTTGTAAATATATATATAATATACACGTAGTATATATTTTATATCATCAGATTTGGGATTTTTTAATTCTGAAACAGGATAGGTCGTGACTTATTTATTTATTTATTTTGCTACCACTCCCTTTCTGTGGTCTTTGTACTTGGGTGTAATATTTCATGGGATTACCATTATTTTCTGTAGGCCGTGAAGAGTGCTGTTTCCCTGGTTTGGTATTATACTGTGTATGTTTTATAGAATGTAATGAATGATTGGCTTCTTTGTGTTCCCGTTAGTAAATTTAAAAATTGTTTATGTTATCTTTAGGTTACTTTCTTGTACATGAGAAGTTATATAGTATCTTTACAGCAAACCAGTGATGACTCACGCTTCACATTTTTTGTGCATTTTTGGCTGAGCTACAGGAAAACCGTAATTATGTTGGACGTGTCGGGGCTTACCATTTGTAAATGTTGCTGGTGTTGGTTAGCCAATAAAAGGATTGACGATATAGTTTTTAATATCAAGGGCAGTCGTGTTCTCCTTAGCGATTTTTTCTTTTTTTTTTGTGCGGTATATAACTGTGATTGCTTTGCGCTTCCGTCATCTGGTGGCAGTGTTGTTCTGCAGTGCTGAACTCGGGTCTTTTAACTGAAAATGAGATCCGCCCTTCCGTGTGCACATACTCCCTAAGTTGCTATCTTGTCTACGAAAATAACTGATTTGCAGTTAGGACTTCAGGACTTGAAGTGTGCTAGGGTTATTGTAATTTTTTTCAGTTTGCCTAAACTGAGGAGGCAAGTATAGGAATAGTTTGTAAAAGTAGTATATTCATGAAATAGCCTTTATACTCCTTCAACTTTACAATGCTGTGCGCTTCACGGTATTTGCAGTTAGTATTTCTAAGACTGAGGTCTGAAAATAATCAGGTTCAACTCTTTGTCCATATGATTTATTTGCTGGAAGCATATCCACTATTAAAGGTCAGGTCAACTTGAGCAATAATATATGTTGACTGAGAATAATTTGATCTGCTTTTAAATCCCTAATCTTAGTGCAGATGTTGGTAACAGCTATTAATATGAAACCTAGGCAGGCTTTTAAAAGTACTCTTTGGGCATAAGGAGGAGCTGGATACGTTTAACTTCTCCTGTTGAGATGAGTAGAAGTTGGTTCCTGCGCTTTTAAATGGACCAAATTGGGAGTTAATACTTGAAATTCACTTTTCGAGATGTATTTTTCATAAAGCAGTGACCTCTTGCTTGTTGTTGATGTAAGGTGACGGTACTTCTTGGCTCCTAGGACCAATAAGGAATATGCAGTAGACCAGATGACCTTGTACTATATGACTGAGGCTTGTGAAGAGCGTTATAAATTTGAAGAGTATTAAAAATACCTTGCATAATAATGTAAGACTTTTTGCTGTTCCATATGTCCACTTAGTGGTAGGTCTTTGTGCATACAAAGTTCTACTTCAAAGGATGTTATATACATAATGTTAATTGCAAGAGTACAATTGCGATCCTGGGTCAGTGTCAGTCATGATTTATTTCAGTGTTCCTACCTGTGGTGGTGACTGCCAGCATCTGATGCTTCAAAATGAGAATTAGGAGTCATCTGGAGAACTATGTTTTGCATCTTACATACATATATTATCTTACACAAGCATTGATGTTACATGTTTAAATGTTAGATTTCAGTTTGTTATTAAACTCATGGGCTGAATGCCATCATAAGGTAATGAGTTCCACAGGCTTATGTGTATTCTCGAGGAAAATATTTTAAAATTAATCTTTATTTTTAGTTACTGTATTTTTAGTAGTTTGCTAGTGACCTTTTCCTTTGCTGAAGGATGGTTATATAGAACATCTGAAAATTCTGTTTATCATCTCTTTCTTCTTATGTTTTGCTAAAGGCCTTGCAGGACTTCAAAGCCCTGGAGTAATTAATCCCTCCCTGTTGACATGGCTGTCTATTGGGGAAGTGAGGCTGGCTGGCAACTGGCTTATTTATCGGAACTGCCGAGCTAGATGAACAAGAGTGACAAGTGGGGAATATTGGAGGAAGTTTTGAGAGGGTGCATTTTTTTCTGTTTTGGGTGACAAGTGTGGGTGATGAGGGAATAACTAATGAAACTGGCTCTGGATGTGCCGCCCCACCTCTTTCTGGGAAAGTTTGGTTCTTGCGTGCAGTGCACTCCATGCAGTGCTGACCATACTGAAAGAGAGGATGCATGATCTGGGAGCTCCAGGTTCAACCTCGTGCTGTGTCTGAAAAAAAGAACAATGTCTTTGAAATGTTGCTTGGAAAGTCTATACCTTACATACCAAGAGGGAAAGGAACTGGGGAGAACAAGAATTGAGAGGGCTGATTTGACTAACTTGATAACTAATGGGGAAAAGAGAATCAGGGTTCAGTAAACAAGTATAGACTCATTACCAGAAAGGATGAATGAGTCTGTCGCAAAAAGATACCAGCCACCTAAATAGTGCTTTTGCATTTTTGAAGTCTGCAGCTATTTATAGTGTTTAATAAACAAAACAAAACTCAACTGGCAGCTTCAAACCAAGAAGAGCAGATAGATGAACTCAGAATTTTTCTATCTCATTGAAAGAGAAAACACAGTTACCAGTTTCTAAGTTTCTGATAAGTCAGAAAGGTGGAATTAAGAATATATATGAATTCATCTGCTGATGGGATGGAATGCCAATGTTCTGCTACAAGCTTCCACTAGAAGTCTCCTTAGAGAGGCAGACGAACCATCTTTAAAGACTGCCCTTGATGGTGGGTTATAGGGACGTTGGTCAGGATATCTATCAGAATTCTTATGCAGTTAGTAATAAAATAGCTTCCAAAAGCTATTCAAAACCTTGCAACACCAGGGAGTACGCAAAAGATATGCATAGCTTACGTTTTTATTTTGGACCTCTTTAGAATGAAAGAGTTAATCACTGAACTGGAAATTGGTTGCTTAGCATCTTGGTATCATGATTGGGTTATATTTTGTATTGGTTGGGGTTTTCCTCTCTTTTCTTATAACATAAAGCTTTGTTTTCTCAAAAAGACTGTTTTCCCAAAACAGCAAAGAATAGTGAGCATTGCTGATATTGGAGGAAAAAAATAAGAAAAATGAAATGAATTTTGAGATCTTTTTTAAGGAACAGAAAGCTTGTACTTTCTGTTTTGTGTTAAGAGAGTTGGCTGAGGAGATCTTTAGTCAGCTGGTATTTGTTCTCAAACTTTGAGATACCTGAAAATCTCAGAAAAATGGAACGGTACTAATATTTCAGTTGAGACATTCAGGTAAACTGGACTGGTTAAGTCTGTGCTGATTAGCCTATCATTAGTTCTGGGGGAGAAAAACAGGAAAAGCTGGCTTGAGATTCAACCGTTGCAGAACTGAAGCATGGAAATAGTGGCAACTTGCAAATATTTATTTTCATTTTTCTTAGGTACTGTCCTTTCTGGTCAAACCTCATTCAGAATGTTAAAACTTCAAGCAGTAAATTCATTCTCCTTTCTCAGAGTACGAGTATCACATCTTTTACTACTGATTGATATTTACTGGCCTTACTGGGTTAACCTGGATGTTCATCTCTGTATTTATGAGATTTAATCAACAGAAGTTTCTCTTAAACTTAGTAGTCATTTGAAAGAATTAAGATTATCCAACTGTGTATAATCTGATGGATGAAACAATCCTGTTTCCTAGCCAAATAAGTAGTCTGTAAATCTGCCTTGAGACTTCTGCTGAAGAGTTGCTGAAAGGAGAAATACTACTTATCAAGTAGAGTTCTGCAAGGATACTCTTGGTTACTAGCATGTTCTAATTTTTTTAAGCCCACAGAAATTGATTAGCTGTCCTCCAAAAATTTAATTTTTTGAGCAACAAAGCCACCTTTCTGTTCTTTACGCAAATCGCCCCTCGTTGGTAGTAATAAGTACTTATGACTAAAATTTTGGTGGTTTATCAAGCTAATTTTTATGTAGGAAGAGTAATTAGCAGTATCTGGGACTGCCAGTCATCTCTGGATTTTTATCTTTGTAATAGATATTCTATTTTCTTTTTTCCATGAACTGCGGTAGGAATATAATGAATGATGACTTTTTTGATGTAAGAGCAGCAGATTTATTACTTTGCAGAAAGAACGATCTGTTTTCACACCGCTTATTTCTGATAGCATGGATGATCTGTTTCTTTTGGGTAAATCCTTGGGGTTGCTTTAATTCTTTGCTTCCTGTAGAGTGGGGCTTTCTTAGCTTTGTTCAGATCACAACACCAAATATGTAGAGATGCTAAAATATCAGTATTGCTGTTGTTGCATTTTTGTATTTCTGTGGTTTGGCAGGTATTCATTTTGGTTTATCCTTAGTTCAACAAAAAGGCCAGCAGGAGGAGCTTTTAGTTTCCAGAGAGGAAGGGAAACATCAACTACAATTCTGCAATTAGTTAAGACATAAATAGGGCCCTGTCTGAAGTCCTGGGAAAGTTATCAGCAGCAGTTGGTAACTTTTTTGATTTTATGTAGGTGTGTGAGGTTGAAGCTAGAATCCAAAAATTACTTGGATGAAATGGAGATGCAGAGATCTGAAAAAAGGGAAGTTCAGAAATGGCAACTGTGAAGTCCTATGTTTTGACAAGAATTATTTAAATACACAAATGCAGGATGCAAGACATGATTAAGTGGCAGCTCATAAGAAGAAAATACATGGATTGTTTCGGGTTGAAAGTTGAATGCAAGT